GTCGACTATTATTTTATGCCGACTATTATTTTATATATTACCCACTGGCAAAACAGGTCTTGGTTTGGATCTGGCATTTGCTCACAAAATTGTTTCCTTGCTTTAGATTTAGCATTAATAATGTATAATGCTAAATCTAAATCTAATAAGTAATCTTGAACTCAGAATAATAACCTTCGCAGCTCCCTGTTTTAAGAATGTTTTTCCCTATTTTTTTTTAAAAAAAGAAAAGGAAAAAAAAAGTTGTCAATGGAAAAAATGCTAGGGGGAAGCTTTTATTATTATTTTTTTCCATGTTTAGTCAATACTCATTGGTAGGTTAATTTCAAAATAGTTAGTGAGGGATCCTTAAAATTTAACGGCCTAGGGCCCATTTTTGTCTTGGGGGGGAAGGGATATTTCCGTATCCTGATCTGGCCCGCCACCTATAATCGCCAAGTTGCCGAATAAATTTTAAACTTGTTAATTTTTTGGGGTGGGGGAAAAATTATACCGTAATACCTTTCGAGTTGGTTCCTTTCTGTGATGTTTTTTTTTAAATTTTTTTTATTATTTTTTATATGTTTCTCGCAGGCCGTTGCCAGGAAGTTGCTAAGACTTGGCAATTCTGCCATAGATATTACAATTCGAAAATCTTCTCACAGATATTCTAGTATCAATTGCCGTGCAACAGAAAAATCTACGTAAGCGGCAAAATATTCAAAATTTAGATTTGTATATGTTTGACATTTTTGTAACGACTGCAATTCTTTTTTTTTTTTTTTTTTTCAAAAATAAATTTTGTTTCATCAATTTTTTAAGATTCTGTTACATAAAGCTTTCATAGTATTAGCAATAGAAAAGAAAATAGTTGCCTACCCCGTAAAGCAATGTTTTATTATAGAAATTCGTGATTTTAAACAGTGATGGAAGTATTTATTTATTTATTTTTTTACTTGTTCTTCCAATAGACACAAAAAACCTTGTGCTGCTTTTAAATTCATGCAGGTGTAAAATTATTTCAATCTCGAATTTTGATGCATCATGATTTGAGTACTTATTCTACACGTTCAAGAATGTTTGCTTCTTTAATAAAACCACGGGGAAAAAAACATGTATTCTGGTAGGTTTTAATTTTTTCTCTGTTTTTCTGCCTTTAAATTTTTTTAATGCATCTGCTGTATAACAATATGATTTACAAGGTAGGGGCTTGCGAAGAAATTTTTTTCTTTCTTGACAACATATTGTGAAGAAAAAAAAAAGTAGTAATATAGTTTTTCGCATTTTATTCCATTCTACCCGGCGCCGAATTCAGCGCTGATTTAAAATATCCTCTGCGTTAGACGGACCAAGGATTAGAATCTCCTTGCCGTCGGACTAATCGTGGGTTGTTTTCGCGGTTTTCTTTTCCATGTAATGCAAATGATTAGTTTCTTGCAAAAAAAAAAAAACATCCACGAAGACTAGTCGATCCGATCTCTTGATCCAGGAGCTCTCTCGTCTTCTGGTTTCGGTTCAGAATCACAAGGCTATGGAGTTGGACGTTAACTCAAAATTGCCGTAATCTCTATCGTAAACTGGCCGGTTATAAAATAAAATTCCAACTTTGATAACCATGACTATAAATAAACTCAAATAATGTGAAATAAGAATTGACAGCTAATCATTTTATCTCTCTTATTATTTTTTTCTTCTTTGGATATTGCAGAAACTACTTTCAATACAGGTTAAATTTAAATTCCAGGTACTAACAGTCTAAATTATTGAGGTGCATTGATTTATTGATATTTCAGTTATCAATAAAGTAATTGTTACCAAGAAATATAGTACGGATGATTTTATTCCAGCTATAGATTTCATATTATATGAATCGATCACTGCTTTGAATGGAATTGATCATTAAAAATGGAACATTTTCATTCGTATAATGTTCACGTCTGAGCGAATCGGCTTTCGTGGGCACTGCGACATTTTAGGTTTATTGATGGAATACGTTTTTATATACTTGGATAAGTTTTTAAACGAACCATTTTGTTCAAATCTTCTTTATGGGTACTGATTTAAGTCATAATCTGTTCGGATGGATTCAATTTAGAATTATTTTGTTTCCTTGCTTTGTTCGTAGCTTGAAAGAATTTTTTAGTTCTTTATTTTATTTTTTATTTTTTTACTATAGAAAAACGTCGATTAATATTGAGTCAGATAAAATATGCATTTTATGTTTTCCTACTATATGAGACGGCTGTATTTTTTTATATTTATTTTATATTGAAAAATACTACATACGAATAAAATGTATTTATTTAAGCATATATGAAGTTTTATGTATGCGATATAATCAATGTATTGCAGAGGATTATTCCATCTGATTCAAATCATCTTTTTTAAATTTTTTTTCTTCTTTTGATGCGTAATTGCAAAAGCATGTTTCCGCTATTTTTAACTTCCGTTTCGGAAATTTCCCGTCAATTAGATCTTCGGTATTTTTCAAGTTTCTGTATCCTGTTTCAACGTCACTGATATCTATTTCTGTAATATATACTTGGAATCGGGTTTTAATTTCCCCTCACCTGTAATTTAACTAATTCCTCTGTTAGTAGGCTTATGCAAGATTATGTTCTACTATATTTCTCTTTTATTCAGTTCTATGAATGGAACTTGAAACTATTCGTCGTTTTTTATTTTTTGAAAGCGAGAAGTTTTATTTTAATATTGATTAAAATCGGTTTGATAAAGGTTGTTGGTCTTCCTGTTATGTAAAACACTACTACAGTTTCTATAAGGCGGTGAAATTTTGGTTAAAAAGTCGGCGCTTTAATTTTGGACATCTATCAAATTATTGCCCAGCTCGAGAATCGTCATCGACCATAATTTTGGAGGAAAATAAAAAAATATTTATGATTCGAAGTATCAATAATTTTTTCTTAATATATTCAGTAATTGAATAGTTTTGCGACTTAAATTCCCGAGATTATATTTTTATTTAATAAATTTTTAAATATTTCTTTATTTTAAAAAATAATGTTTCAACTACTATTATTTTATATTTAGTATTTTATGTCTCAACAACTATTGGATCTTAAACAATTATTTTATTTTAACTTATTATTTTTCTTAATTTTTATTCTTTAAATGATGACGGTCGCCGCTATTTCAGACGATTTTCACTCTTATAAATCAAAAACTAATGAATGAAAATGTGTGAAATATTAGTTTTTTTTTAATAGGAATATATCAGAAACATTGTTGCCGATTTTATTTTCTGATTGATTTTAGGACAGATGTGAAGATTTTTGTTTTGAGCCACGTGATTTATTTCAGCGAAAATAATTAGAAAATTTTAGATATTTTGCAGTTATATTTTCTTTAGTCTGGCGATGAATAAGGCATCTCATTTTGTTCTAATTTCAATTTTGTTTTGCAGTAATTCAATAGTTTATTATAAAGGTTTTCCAGTTTGAATAAAATTGAGGGAATTTTTAGAAATAAGTAGATATTACTATCTTAATAATTTTACAATATTATCATAAATGTTATTTTTAAATGTAAAGTTTTTTAACTTAAAAAAAATTAAATAAACTTTGTTACATTATTAAGATAATAAACATTCATAAGACTCACATTTTTGTTTTATGTGCCAAAGGTTACATATCTATAGTTAGCTTATTAGTTTACAATTAAAGCCATTTCATGCAGCGTTTATATTTATAAATTCATCAAGAACAAGTTTTTGATCACTAATAATGCATGGTGCTTAGCGTTTTTAAAAAGTGTTTACTTTGGATTTTTTAAAAGACCTTAAAGGTGCTTTTTTTCATGGGATGTTTTTAAAAAGTGCTTCATTTTCCCTTTTCGAACATGAGATTTTCTTTACCATGTCGATTTTCGCCATGTACTATGCAAAAGCATGCTTTTCACATTGTTCTATTACACGTTTTCATAATTTATTCAACTACAATCTACTTCGGCGCGTCCCGTCGGTAAATAGCTTATGAAACCTTCAATCATTTTACATGTTTTATGAAATACTTGGGAAGTCCACATGTGCGTCCACTGAGCTGAGATCGGTGAGATTCTTGAACTCTTCATGTGCAACCTGCTACATTTTGCAATTCTCAATTTCAGGCTGCATTTTCCACTGTCTGGTATCGAACCGAAAAACCTCTTCATCTTTTTATAATGGCTAATATAATCAAGAAAAGTGTTCTTTGTCTGAAATTGGTTATTTTATCAGGATCTTGTAAAGTCTTTGAAAATTATTTTGCATTTTGTTAATGTATATAGTGCTTAAAAATATTTGAGTGCTTGAAAAGATGATGTTGAATGATTTGGCTACGCCCTTTAATATGTGTTTCTATTTCAGTTATTTATAACATTCTGCTTGAGTTCATTTGTCTTTTTCGATTTTTTTTTAAAATTGTCCTTTTGGTTTCGTTTTTTAGAAAGTTGAGTAGCTGTTTTGGGAGATATTTCCGTATCGTGATCTGTTGCTACAATTGCCAAGGTCTCAAATAGATTTTAAGCTTGCAATTTAAAAACAAAACAAAACATGTAGATGTTAGTTGGGGGGTGGCTGCGAGTTATACCTTTCGAATTGGTCCCTTTCTCTGATGTTTTTTTAGTTTTTCGCGGGCCACTGCCCCGGAAGTTGCCAAGACTTGACGATTATTCTGCCACAGATCACGATACGAAACTCTTCCCTTGTTTTGTTTAATTATGTATAGTTTATCTAAAATAAGAACTCCCCCAGACATTCGTCTGAACCTGTGGCGGTGACTATGGTAACGAGGTATGACTATTTCAAGTAGGGGTGCGGGGTCACTGCTTTGGAATGGTTTCGACTCTCGTCGGCGAGAGAAAGGGTATCGCTTTCTTCGATCTATTGTGTTAGTTCTAAAGTGAACTTACCTTCCTTAAAATGCGCTATTCTTGTTTCCATAGCACCAGACAGCCTCAGACTTTGTGGCGGGAGGAGTTCTTAGCTTAGACAAACTATATCAATTTTATTGTTTTCTTTTCAGGTGTAGTTCATGAACATCCCAGAATCGGTTCAGATGGAGAGAGTGAGGAAGCATCTGGTGCCTCTGACGAAGTAGTTTCCCCGGTCAAGCGTCGGTCTAGGTCCCGGCATGTCAGTCAAGTAAGTCATCACACATTTCGCATTTAATTATAACAGTGGTTTCCTATTATTGTTATGAAACCCTAAATGATCCTTCTTTTGCCAGAACTCCGATTTTATTTTTCTTCCAAGGAGCTCCTTAGGAATTAGGAACACAAAAACCGAAGAAAGAACTACAAATTATTTTGATAATTATTTAACGTGAGAAACGAAATTTTTACATCACTTTGTTAATAATTTACTAAAAATTAGGTTTTATGACTGACCGTTGAATTAACTTGTTGGGAGCTAAGGAACTAATATCTAGCTAAGTTCTGACTGTGTTTTTGGTATTCGCTTGATCTGAAAATGAAGAAAATAAGCTGGCGTTTTCAATTAAATGGAATTGTTAAGAATGTTTATCACAGAGATACTCTTTGATTTTTGAATTTTGTTATTTTATTTTGAATTAAAAATTTAATGGGAAATAATCCAAATTTTTATTAATAAATATTTTAGTATATATTCTATATTTTGTTATTAGACTTTCTTTTACATTCCTTTTTTTTGGCATATTACTTAATTATATCGAAGCAACAAAGTATTAAATAATTAATAGGCTGTTGATTGGATATAAGTACAATGGGATACCTGCATGTGACGTAGTGTGGGTATCTCGATCCTGATTGGTTGTTGAAACGTGGCATTTGTTAAGGTTAGCAACTGTTCTTTCCATTCTATTTCGAGTAAGCCAAGCTCGTCAAGTATCAATTCTCTTAAGTGACACATTCTAGATTCTTTCACAAAGATTCTTTCTCAGAGATTTCAATTCTCTCACTGTATATATTTACACAGAGACTTAACACAAAGGCAGGCACTAAGCCAAGTGGGACATAAACAAACTAACTGGGCATCAAAGTTGTCAGTTACGTAAAATAAAAATATATCACGATTACAATAAAATACATAAGCAAATAATAAATATTAAGTTAAGTAAAAGAAGTAGACCAGAAAGAATTATATTTCAACTTATTTGATGTGCAATACCGCTCTGTATTTAATTTATTAATCGTTAATTAATATTCTAACTTATGTAGAGAAACTTAGCTCAACTTAAGTATGCCATTTTGCTGATAAAGATCAGCTGGCTGATGTTTTAGATGTGAGGGTATAGGAAGTCTTCTTCTTGAAGTGCGAGTACCCAATTACAGTTTCCAAAAAAATTTTTTAGTTTAAAAAAAAGTTCTGTCACTGAATCCTTTGTTGTTGTTTCTAATGCCACTTGCCACAGGGGCAACCCTGCTTGGTGAAATCGAGCAAATTTAAGGCAGAGTGTGCGATTGTTGTTTTTCAGTGGCGCCATCTATGGCCAAGAATTTGACTTCTGCCACACCATACGTTGCATCTGTTTATAGGGCGGACCCATTCATACATCCATTCATTCATCCATCTATCCACAGATCGTAATTTTGACCTGAATCAGAGAATGATCGATCTCCAGTCCAATGCTCCCAGAGGCATTGATTTGTTATGGAAACATGGAGGACTTTTGCCTCTCGACAGATTTAATGTGCATCAGTCACTTTACTACATGGGGAGTCTTCAGCTGGCCGGTTCAAACTCTCGGATATGGGCCCAGCGCCCTACCGACCAGGTTATCCCGGCCGAACCCTTTGTGACTCTTCCAAGGAACACTTTTTGGTTGACTCTGAATTAAACAAAGTATGAACATAATATAAAACAAAGCAGCATCCCTGATTTTTTTCTCCAAATATTTAACTTTTAAAAGCGCCAAAATTTGTCAAAAGCAAAGGAGATTCATCATACAATGGTAATAAAAGTCTGACATTCATTGATTGTGAAATATCAACGCATTTACAAACAATGAGATAGCTAGGAATAACATTACTTAACGAAAATTCTTTTTAGTATGTTATAAATACACTTAATGTTGAATTTTCTTTCATTATATTTTCATTACATGTAGATAAATGTTTTCTTTCAAAACATTGACTGACTGACTGGTCGCCTCACAGCATTTGTTAATGCATCTTTATTTGAGGGCAAATGTGTCATACCATGAGAGAACAAATTTAAATACTTTTTACTCTTAAAAATTTGTACGCTTTATGATTTTTTAAATTTTCAAAATTTTTTTATTTGTTTTTTTTCCAGCTGTTGACTTAGACATCTGACATATCAGAAATTTGCTATATTGTAATCAAAAATAGGGGACCAGCCTATACATCAATATTAAAAATAAATCATAACAATAAATTTCACACTTTTATTTCTGCATTAAAATTGTTCAATGCATGCAAATGTATTATTCAAATTTATAAAAAACTGTACAGAAATATATCATTATTGTTTGAAAAATAGGTTAAAAATAAACTAATCACAAAATAATTATTTAAATCAAATTTTTGGTTAGGGAAAAGCATTCATATTCAATAATGCATTAAATTTTCAGATTGTTCTTTGTTTGCATTCTGAAAATAAGATTTGTAAAATATTATTTTGAAAACGATTTACATGTTTCTGAACTGTTTATTCTTTTTTTTTTCCAGCATGATATTAGTAAACGGCTCTCCCTCCCTGCCGATGTACACCTTCCAGAAAGTTTTCTTGCCAAACAGACAGTCAGTCCGACGTTGGAGGGTCCTATTAGTAGGACGCTCAGAAGGCAATCTCTGGTATGACATGAATTTTTAATTTGTATTATCTTTTAGGTACTTTTACTAGATACTTTTGAATGCTGAAATATTTTTTTCTTTATTTTCTTTCTGCAAAAATGTAAGCGTAAATATTTACTTTTATTTATTTGAAAATAATTATTCTGTGATGCGTATTAATTCAAAGAAAAGTTGTATTTTGCAGATGTTGTTATTGTTTCATTGTATCGAATTTATTATTTGTCTGTCATTACTATTTAAAGAAAATAAGTAATATCAAGTGTTTATTTTAGATCTCATAAATTTTTTACTAATATTTCTAATTAAAGTAATTGCTTCTTTAACTTTTTTTTAAAGATCTTATAGTTAGTCTTACTATTTGTACTGCTTTATTATATTTAAAAAAAAAAAAAGAAGAAAAAAACGATGTCAACAGTTTTCTATTGTTATTCTTAGTGCTTTCTTTAGAATCTGTTATTTCTTCAGGTCATTAGAATTTTTTTTCTTTTCATGAGTAGTGTTTATGAGTAGTAATTATTAGTTTATAGTGTTTATTTCCTTTTGAAAACGAATTATTTTTTTCTTCTTCAAAAAGATGAAATTTAATTACCCTATCATCTGATTTCCCATCATTACCAGATTGATGATAATAGTAAGTGCTAATAAAATTAGGATAAAAATTGAAAACAAGTCTCTCCGAATGGCATTTGCAATCATGATATGCAAACATCTGCAACATTAAATATTTTTTTTACTATATTAAATCTTTTTTTAATTAAGACTTTTTCACTTTTCTCCGTATCTATGTATTATTATTATTTTGTCTTTTGTAATTCCTCTGATTTTGAAAATGTGAACATTTATTTAATCAAAACAATGTTTTTTTTTGCAACTTGAAAACTCAGTTTCTAAAGATTCGAATGAAAGCTTTTAGTACTGAATATGTTGGCTTTTTGAAACTTTATTGCCACTTTCTGTGATTAAATAAACGTGTATCCAAAAAGGGAATAATTTTTTTTTAAAAATAGAAATCTTCACATTTTTAGTATAAATGATCTTTCAAATATTTTCCTGTTAAAAGTTTATTTTAATATGATAGCATTGCACTCCTTTGTATCATTAGCTCTTTTCAGTTTCTTTCTAACTTAAAACTTATGTTTTATAATGATGATCTACGTTCAATGGCTCTACATCAGTATCAGTAATTAGCTTTTAAAGAATAAGTGTAAATGAGTAATATGTATGATTGTATATATTTTTAAAATTAAAAGTACAAATTGTTTTATGTAGGGTGTGTTTGTAGGAAGTAATCACACACAAACACACCATAATATTCTAAGCTTTTAATATCTCTGGATTTTTGGTGTATCAAGGCAAATTAGAAAAAGATTTTTTTCTCTTACATTTTGAAATTATACAGTATTCTATTAAATGTAAATATTTTTTCCTTTTCTATATCAATGAAATGGTCATAATAAATTATATGATCTTATATACTTAAATACCTAGAGTGTAAATTTGCAATTTTTTTTTCCAGTCAGAAATAGGTTTTGGTAGAATAGAATCTTATGTGAAACTTCATAAGCTTGGTGAGGTTAGTATAACCTTTTATTTGAAATTCTCTTTAAGAATATAATTTTTAAAATTGGCCATGTTATGCATTTCTGTTTAAAAAAAGATATTAGATATTGAATTCTTAAGATTGCTTTTATACATATTGCGTATAAAAGCAATCGTTTTCGTAAAAGCAAAGTGCGTAGAAGCACTCGTAAAAGCAAAGTGCGTAGTGTTTTTAAAAAGTGCTTAAAGGTGTTTATTTTCGTTTTTTAAATGCCCTTAAAGGTGCTTTTTTCATAAGGTGTTTTGGAAAAGTGCTTAATTTTCCCTTTTCAAAAATGAGATTTTCTTTTCTTTACCATGTCGATTTTAGGCATGTATTATGTAAAAGGGTGCTTTTCATATTTTTCTATTAGTCTTTTGATTATTTTATAATGGCTAATATAATCAAGAAAAAGAGTTCTTTGTCAGAAATTAGTTATTTTATCATGATCATGTAAAGTCTTGGAAGAAATATTACCATGATAAGAAATATTAGCTTCCAATTAATAGTTGTAGATAAATGATAAGATGAAGCTTAAAGATAAGTTGATATTTTAAAAATTCTATTAATTGAAGAGTAAAATTATTCTTGGTTTCTTTCTCTGTCCTTTTATTTATTTATTTATTATTATTTTTAAGGAGGACATTTAAAAAATCAATAAAAGTTTATAGCCATGAATGCTTTCATTAAAAGTGTAGTTTTCGAAATATTTTGCTAAATATACAGATTTTAAAGTTATTTGTTGAAAATATTGAATACTTTCTTCAGTCTTAATGAAAAAGTATAAACTTGTAGTTAGAATCTTTTAATGTATAACTTTGTGCCATTTGAAGAAATCTAATTTTGGGCAGTTAGAAGAAAATGTATATAAAGGTTAGGAAATGAACTAAACAGATATTTTTCGAAAGCATATTTTTAAAATATGGGAATGATAGATTTCATACCTTCATAATAAGATTGCGCCTGACAATTACTTTAAGTAATCGGTCTAATTTCAGACCCTTAATGAGGCTAATTTTGTCTCATTTATGTTAAATAAACACTTGGAACTCTTTCAATTTTTTAAAGATCTAAATCTGTTTTTAATTTGTTCAATCAAAATCAGATCAGTTGTTTTAAATTTTTTAATAATTTAAAAAATTATTAGATTTCTTATAGGTACTTCTTTTATTGGGTGCTTTTAAAAAGTGATTAATTTTCCCTTTTTCAAAATGAGATTTTTCCTTTACTATGTCGATTTTCGCTGCGACTTATGCAAAAACACACACTTCACATTGTTCAATTCAACGTTTTCACAATTAATTTAATCTGTTTCGGCGTATTGTCAGTCTGTAGCATATGNTTGCGGCTTGCATATTTCGTAGGTGTAAGTTTTGAGTATCTCGTAGCTGCTTACATTTTTCCATTAAAGTATCCAAACTTATTTCTATTTCGATGATATCCGGTGTCTCAGTTCGTATTAATCCTTCTAACTTATTTAAGGCTTTCGTAAAACTTGTCCGTGAAGCCGCTCGTAATTGTTTTGAAGCATCCATGCTTACGTAATTATAGTTTCTTTACTGCGTAGTTGATGTTTTCTTTTTACGATCCGCTTTGCATCAATTCGATGCACGTCCAGACAGGGATGCCACTATATCGCTTAACTTACTTATTGTTGTCTAAAGGATGCCCATCGAGGTTCTTAATTAATTAGGCAGATCGTAATTAACAATATTTTATTAACATAANTGAAAAGTGCTTAAAAGGTGCTTATTTTTTGTTGCGTAATTTGACTACACACCCTGTATTTTAATCTAATTGAATTTCAAGGTTAATATGCATATTTAATTGAATTCATTATGTTAAATGATTTGTTATTTATACTGTCATGACATGATTGTTTTTTTAATAATATGATGTGTTGTTTTTGTCATTTATAGTATACTGTACATGATGGTTGTTATTCATAATATCCTAATTTATAATGGTTATTGTTATATTACAGCTTAACCCTGCTATAGTGAACCCAGAATACAGGGAACACTCAGCTGTAGTAAATGCTTTTAGTGGCCCATCCAGACAGTTATTTAACTAATGTTGTTTAATACGCTTATTAATACTGAATAGATGTTGTGAACAATTAGTTTTTTGTGAGCTCTATAATTTTAAAAAAAATGAATGTAAGAACATTTTTGGTTAACGTGATAAGTTCAAAAGTATATAATTATGACTTTAATTTAAAAATGAAGTAATAGACATTTTGAGAGACTTGTTTAGAGTGATTCATTTTTCTAGAATGAATAGTACTAGTGATTTCAGAAGCAGGCACATGGGAGAGCAAATTGGTTAAATAGAAATTCCTTGTTTTTAGCTAAGCTGGCTAAAAAAATGATTAAAAAAAATTAAAAAAAACTAAGCAGCTGACAAATTTTAAAAATGACGAAAATTCAAAAGATAAATGCTCAAAAAATTATAATAGGGAGACAACCCCTTAGTCGATGCAGATTAAAAATTTTATTATCGGAAGAAATTTGCAGAGAGGAAATTTCTTTGTACAGAGACTATTATTACTTATAGAATTATGCTACATACACTCTTATATTTTTTAAGTTTTATAGATATAATTATGTACTATTGCAATTATTGTTTCTAACAACTCTATTATTGCATTATGCAAGTGCTTAATTTTCCCTTTTCGAAAATGATTTTTTCTTTTCTTTTCTATTTCGATTTTTACTTCGTAATATGCAAAAGCGTGCTTTTCACATTGTTCTGTTCAATGTTTTCACAACTCATTCAACCATTGTATGATAGTAGTATGCTAAATTATTCTGTAATATCTTATTTTTGAAATTACTCATGATTCATATTTGATTGCAGGGTACTTATGCAACTGTTTATAAAGGTAAAAGCAGACTGACTGATAAATTAGTTGCGCTGAAAGAAATCAGACTAGAGCATGAAGAAGGAGCACCCTGCACTGCCATTAGGGAAGGTTAGCTTTCTTAATTCTAATTTATGCTTTTTTAACTACCCCAAAATTTGAAATTAATTTTTTGCTTGCAATTGATCTGTGCAAATCATGCTCACTTTTAAATGTTTAAATGTGTAGAAATATTTCTTTGATATTTTTTTTTGATTTTACTTAAAAGTTTTTTCCAGTCAGTGATATGATTTTTATGACTTTTATTGTGTGTGAAAGACATCATATTATCTTTTTATAGCTGTAAAGAAAATTAAATTATAATAGTTCTTTGCATTTTTCCAAAAAAAAAGTTTTTGCTTTTTTTTTAAAAAAAAAAAGTTTTTGCATTTAAATAATGTCTGTGCTAATTTAATTCTATTAAAAAAATTTAGAATCTTAACTTTTGTTGTTTTTGTTTCGAATGACACTTGAAAAAGCCAAGTTTCAAAGCTTTGTGAATTAAGCCAGGAAGAAGGGTCTTTTTTCATTTGTAAAAGTGCAACTAGTAAAAGGGTAAAAGTGTGGCTTAATCCAGAATGGCCTAATGGATGCTAGCATTACTCATTCAAACTTTTTTCTCTTGATCCCTGTACCCATGGTACTGCTCAGAAACTGTTTGCAGGACTTTCGATTCCGGATTTTACGAGTATGTATATCACATGCACTCAGCAGTTTTTAGAACTGAAAAACAGCTCCTCTGGATTGATGTCTGATGCTCTAATCCAGCAATTCTGTAGAAAGGTTGCTGGGGTTCTGTGAATTAGAACCTTTTTTTAAACCTTTACTAGCTTTGCATTCAATCAGTAATAAATTATTTAAGTAAAAGGCCAATAAAAATAAATAGCAAATTTTGAAATGCACATTTGTGTTTTTTTCCAATTACAATATATTAAACAAATTACTAAAAGAATATACTAAATACAAATGAGTACATGACTATCTCTTTTAGAACTTTAAAATTTAAAATGTAATAACCAAGTTTAAGAATTGCAAATTATATTTCCCCGATAACCATCAAATTTTATAACAGTTCTTTTTCAAAAATCATAATTTGATTTATGCATACGTGAAAAACTTTTAGACTAATAACCACTTTAGACTTGCCAGCTCAACTGCCTCACAAAAAATTTAATTTCGAGTCTATTGCTGATAAAACGATGGAATTTCATTTTTAACATTAAAAGGTTCTAAATTAATTTGAAGTTTTTTTATTTTTTTGATTAGAATATTCACACATGCCAAATAACTTTTTTTAAGAGTTAGTATTTAGAAAGAAAAGGTTAAATTATTTGGGGTTCTGTAGCTGAAAATATTGGGAACCGATAGTTAAATAGTTAGCTAGATAAGCTAGATAAGTTAATGAAAATCAAAAAAGTTTTTTAAGTATCTGTTTTTTTTGTCGAAGAGTTTTTTTGCTATGTATCTGTAGTGAGTTCATAATAGTTATTCGTTACTGCTTGGTCAATTTTTTTTATCTCTGGCCAACATATTATTTCAATTCATAAAAATTAAGTAAATTTTTTCAAAAATATTTGTTTATTTGAAAGAACGGTAAATTATTTTCAGTGACACATTGATTGGTCTGCCATTAAAACTTTTAAGTGGTTCAAATGAGTTATCATTGTAAAATTAATAATTTTTAAATGGTGTATTTTAATTTTGGTTATGAACTTGAAATCTCATTGCTTATATTTATTTTTTTGTTGTTATAATGAGTTCTTTCTTAACAACCATTAAGCTTCCTAATAATATGATTGTTTTTTTTCTTCCAGTTTCATTGCTGAAAAATTTAAAGCACAATAATGTAGTTACACTCCATGATATCATTCATACTGAAAAGTCCCTTACCTTAGTTTTTGAATATTTGGTAAGTTTATCACTTTACTTGTTAAATTATTCAGTGAAAGGCTTCGTTTCTCTACAACGTTAACATACCAATGAGGAAATATTTTCATTTTACAGAGAATTCGACCCAAATTATTTTTCACTATTAACACAACAAAGACATGGTGTGTAGCGTTTTTAAAAAGTGCTTAAAGGTGCTTATTTTCGATTTTTGTTTTTCGCCCTTAACCCACTGACGGTTCTGCACGTAAAAAGTTGCATTTTAACCTGCAGTCTTCTCTGCATAGCAAAACCGGTTTTTCCATGTTAATAGATAGTTGAATAGTGTATTGGGAAGAAACATTCTCCCAAATTTGCCCATTTGCTTAACCGCCAGTGGGTTAAAGGTTTTTTTTCCATTGGGTGTTTTTAAAAAGTGCTTAATTTTTCCTTTTCGAAAATGAGATTTTTTTCTTTACCATGTCGATTTTCGCCACATATTATGATCTGGGTTTGATAAGACTATTGCACTCTTCATGTGCTACTCTGCTGCATTTTGCAAGATATTCTCTATTTCAGGCTTCATTTTCCACACTCTGATATTGAACCCAAAAAGCTCTTGATCATTTTATAATGGCTAATATAATCAAGAAAAGAGTTCTTTGTCATAAACCATTTATTTTATCATGATCATGTAAAGTCTGTGAAAATTATGTAACATTTTGTTTATGTATATAGTGCTTAAAAATATTTTTTGAGTGCTTAAAAAGTACTTAAAAGGTGCTTATTTTTTGTTGAGAGATTTTGCGACGCACCCTGATAAACCTCTACAACTTTTACAGTAACTTTTTAGTTGAAAATTGGTCTTATTCACACATTATTTGTTAATATAATTTGTGATATATTATTTGTGATTGTATAAAATTTTGTAATGTGGCCCTCTATATTACAAATTTACAATTAAATTAACAATTAATTTACAAAGAAAATAAAATTTAAATTTATTATCTTTAGAAGGAAATTAATGCTTATTGAAAAAAAAAATAACCTTAAATATAAATTTTTATTAAACATATCAAACATTTTTATTGTTCTCCAACTCAAGAAATATTTTACAAAAGCTAAGGTAAGACACTTTTAATAAGTCTCTATAAACTCTCTTTATATTAAAAAAAAAGTTACTGTTTCCTTCATGTTAAAGGTTTTCTTGTGATTACAGTTTCAGAAATATTTTATCTTTTTTATTTTATCAAACTTAAAAAAAAATCCAAAGTATACATAAACTTCATTTGTCTCTTCATGTTAAAATTAATTTTTATTGACCCTCTGATATTAAAATGTTGTGTCATAAATCAAAGTTTGTTTGACCAGTGTACACAATTTTCTTTGTTTCTTCCTTCCATGTGCTTCAATTTCAGAACAAGAATGTGTATTTTAAATAAAATAAAAAAGTAATTTTAAATTTATCTGATCTGTCTGGAAATAGGTGTTAGGGTGCACAAATTTGAGGTAGAATGTTTTTCGAAAAGAAATTTTGTATCGGCATTTGCCCATAATTAGTTAAGCAGATACATTTTTTATATATTAGATTAGTGTAAAAAAAGATATTTATATTGTAATGGTAATGAATAAAAAGCAAACAAATCGTATCGTAGAAGAAATGAAAAGATGCTCTATTTATTTTTCTAAAGTTAACTATGTAACTGTATATAATAATTTAACTTATTCATTTGATAAAAATTAAGAAAAGTTAAATTGTTTTAAATTTATCCTAAAACTTTTAAATGCTCAGTTAATGTAACTTTTATAATTTAAAAACTCTTTTATATTGTAAAAGTTGTAAGTGTTATCAATTTCATGTATGGTCAGTTTTGCTACCAAATCTTTCAAAGTTAAACTTTCTATGACTAAAATTTTCTTATTTTAAGGTAGTTTTAGTAACTTTTGAAATGCTGCAATTTTAGATAATTTGATCTGTTTTTAAAAAGATAATTTACTAATTTATATACTTAGTAAAGTTATAAGCTTTTTCCATTATATGAATACTACAATATTTTTCATATTTTAATTTGTAGTTTTATTATTATTTTTGTAATTTAATCTTTCTAATTACAACTTCATATATAGTTAGTTCACCAGGAGTTGGCACTTGGCTGCACTTCCTTGGACGCAGAGTTCATTTCAGCGCGGGAGTAAGAAGAAAAACATCTCCACTCTTGAAATTGGAACAACCCTTTATGCGCACCAAACACAAGCAGTGACTTCTTTTTCAGTCACTTACTTCGCTTTATCATCTGCTATTATACCTTTTCTTTCGTCTCTCTAGCTCAGGGTTTCTTAACCTGTGGTTCATGAACCCCTAAGGGGTCCATGAGTTATATTTTGGGGGTCCGCTGACTACTCCTAATTTTTAAAACGTTTGGAAACCTACCCATTGCTTGTAAAGCGAGTTATGGCAGCTATAATTCCGTTTGCTACAGTGTATCTTTGCGAAGCGGGATTTTCCACAATTGTGACAATAAAAACATAACATCGAAATCGATTGAATGTTGAACATGATATGCCCGTTTGCTTTGTTGAAAACCATCCCCCAATTCAATTTGTTAATTAAGGAAAAGCAGCAGCAACCTTCACATCAAAAATTTTAATTCTAAAAATTTTGTATACTATTAAAATAATAAAATTAAATGTTTTCGAATAATTGACGTTTTTTGCAATTATTTTTTTCACAGGGGTGTGGTCCGTGACTTCTTAAAAAATTTTAAAAGGGGTCCATGACATCAAAAAGGTTAAGGAACACTGCTCTAGCTAAATAAATGTATTTTAAATTTAAAAACTGCTGTTTTCCCAGCAAAATGTCTCATAAAGGACAAACTATTCACTCAAAAGAGAGAAATATCATAAAAAATGGTGAAAAAAATATTTTTGCCATTCAATCACCAAATAGCAACCTTGCTCAGGATTGCTCACAGCCTTTTCCCAAAAATAGCAAACTAGTATTATCAGATACCACGTGATGAAGGAGGAGCCAAGGGCCAACTCCTGGTAACGAGCTATAACTAAAATTACATTTTACCAAGATAATTTGAACTTTTTTAAAATGGACAGATAGTGAATCGATTCTCATGTTAAAGGTGTAAAGAATTTTTCGTAATTGTAGTACTGAATTTAATTCAAGGTACATCATACAGTAGCATTAACACCAAAAATATTGTTAGTTGCTAAATTTGCTAAGCAAAAAATAATCTTTTTAATTTTTAAGTGAAGTTTTATAATTTTTATTTTGCACGCATTGTGTGTATAGCATATTATGAGAAGCCTTTTATTAGGTATATATATTATAAATTCTCAAGTTATAATTCTCAATAATATGAATTCTCAAGTTATTATTTCATTTATTTTCCATCTTGTTAAAACTTGTTATGATTTGGAAATGCATTGTTTTTTGCTGTAGATATTCATGCCTTTTATAAAATGTGGAGCTATGTAATTCGGCCGACAATTATAGGCAAAAACAGCCAACTCTAGATATGTATTTTAAATTAAAATAGTTGTTAAAAGTAAAAGAAAAACCTTTAAACATATCTATGTAATTTTTTATAGGTATTTTAACATTAAATATGTGCATTTGCGTATAATGACAAGCTCACTTTAAGAGCTATTTCATGTGTTATTATGAATTGTCATTTAATAGATTTTTACTGTACTTTGCAACTTCTATTCTTACATGATTTTATCTTTCTTTTCAGGAAAAAGATCTGAAGACATATTTAGATGAATTAAAATCTCTTCTTAGCTTAGATATTGTAAAAGTGAGTAAACTTTTTCATTACTTTTTTTTTCTGTGCTTTTTATTGTTATCTGTCTCCTAGTGTTATTGTTTCATTCCATAAGTTTTTTGTAATGTGTGCTTTTTATGAGAGTTTTTATAACTTAGTGAAAAGTAAAATTTTTCAGTAAAAAACCACATTACAAACTTCATTTGCATAAAAATTGAGAAAGACTAAAATTCATAGTTATAGGGGAGGTTTTAAATAAATTATGGTTATTAAGTAGGAGGATAAAAAGAAAAAAATCAAGGCAATAAATTAATAAGAAGAATAGAAATACTCACATGAGGGTTATTTCTAAGTTAAATGAGGAAAAATTCAGGAAGAGATATGAAAGAAATGAAAAATTGAAAAGACCTTGAAAGTTATGATAATTTATAATTAATTTGAGGGGAGAGAGAGAGATCCTATTAGGGGTTGGAAATGTGTTTTTATTTTTCATACATAGCAGAACCTGACAAAAGAATTTTTAATTGATAGAGGTTTGAAGCTTTATATTCTTCCCAATTTTTGTATTAAAGAACTGCGAGAAACATTATTTCAATTCAATAGTCACTTTTTCCAAGCTTTTAATTCTTGGATTTATTACCCTACATGTGTGGGAAATTTTTTGTAATTTTAAAAATTTGTCATTGGAAGTTTTCTATATTTAATATAAAAAAAATAGTTATATGTAAAAATCCAGATTTTCCCAGAAAAAAATTGGTCTCAAGATGTGGATTCGTTTTCAGCATCCATAAAAACGGAATCCCTTAGTATGCAAAAAATAAGAATTCTAGCAAATTTGTCAATTATGCTAGAACTATTTCAGAACTTATAGATTCTCAAGAGAAGTAGTTTTGTTAATTCAGATTATAAATTGAATTCTTTTAATTTATAATCTAAATAATTAAGTTTAAAGAAGAAGAAATGGTTTTTTTAGAAAACATTCTATTCTTTTAGAACCTAATGTTCATTGGGTACTGTGTTGAGTAGTTCACTTTTTTTTCCTTACTTCTCACAGCAAGTTTTATTTAATGCATATATTCACTCAAGTCAGTTTGTTACATGCTGTGTTTATTTTAAAAAGTGTTGATGATTTGTTCATGTACACAATCACGCTTAAAAAATAATTTTTTTATGGGGGGAAATTAAATTTCTTAACTCTCAGAATTGACCTTGTTTTGAAGTGTTTTTAATGTTCACTTTACAATGTATGTTGGCAAAGCTATGAAATTTTAAAATATTGTGTAATGAATTTCTATCTTTTATTGGAAACAGAGTTTCCACTTTTAAGTTTTCTGAATTTGAAAGGAAAGAGAAATATTCTTAAGTATCTAAATTTGAGATTTAAANCGTAAAAAGTCGCATTTTAACCTGCAGTCTTCTCTGCATAGCAAAACCGGTTTTCCCATGTTAACTGATAGGGGAACTGTGTGTAGGGGAGAAACATTCTTCCAATTTTGCCCATTTCCTTAACCGCCAGTGGGTTAAGTCAGTCTGTTACATGCTGTGTTTATTATTAAAGTGTTGATAATTTCTTTATGTACACAATCATGCTTAAAAAATACGTTTTGACGTTCGAAAAAATACAAAATTTAAATCCCTTTTAGCTATGAAACTGGTCCTTAAAAGAATAATAAGTTTTTTTTTTTATTTTTTAGATGTATTTTTGAGAAAATGTATCATTTTAACACTAAGATTTTTAAAAAATTTTATCCTCTTTTTGTTGAACAGAAAAATTAAATAGTTTAACTCTCAGAATTGACCTTGTTTTAAAGTGTTTTTAATGCTCGCTTTACAATGTATGTTGGCAAAGTTATGAAATTTTTAAATATTGTGTAATGAATTTCTATCTTTTATTGGAAACAGATTTTCCACTTTTAAGTTTTCTGAATTTGAAAGGTAAGAGAAATATTCTTAAGTATCTAAATTTGAGATTTAAAATAATGCCTTTCTCTCTTTTCTTTAATAAATAAATATTTTTTATTCTATTTATCTATAATATTGCAATTATTTTTATTGACAGTCATTTCCGCTTTAAATTCATAGAGTAATGACATTAAAGTTATATTTCCCAATATATATATATATATTTACAGTATCTGTATTTGAAATTTGTTAACATATTTTATTCTTTTTTTCAATAGCTTTTTCTTTTTCAATTGCTGCGAGGTCTTGCTTACTGTCATCGGCGGAAAGTTCTTCACAGAGATCTGAAACCACAAAATATACTAATAAATGATAAAGGAGAATTAAAATTGGCTGACTTTGGTACGGAATTTATTTAATTCTGCTGGTAATAAAATGACTTCTGTTTTGCCTTTGTAGTTTCTATGAATTATAAATTGTTGCCTTTAATTTTTCAGGTCTTGCAAGAGCAAAATCTGTACCCACCAAAACATTTTCAAATGAAGTAGTTACATTATGGTAATTACTATTTTTTTACTCCTCAAGTGTTAGTTGTGTTTATTAAATTATTTCAATGTACATTATTGTATAATTAATATTTTTCGTTTTTGAATAACATTAATAATGGTAAAATTTTCAGCGATGTTATTTGCCATGAAATGAATAATGTGTTGTTTTTTTTTCCCTGTAGGTATAGGCCACCAGATGTATTGTTAGGTTCAACTAATTATTCTACGTCAATAGATTTATGGTATGCTTGCTTTTAAATTAGCTTAAATGTATAATTATGTAGTAGAGGTGAAAACTAATGTGATTTATCTGTAATTATTATAATTCTATTGTCAAGATTTTGGTCTTGTGGTTAAGTAATAAAAAATTAAATTTTTAGGAATTTCTGTAATAATCTGTTTTAAATAAGTTTTTCCTCCCCTTAACTACTAAAGTTATAAAATTTCCTTATTAGCAACTATTCTACAATGAATTTTTGTTCTACTCCTGAAATAATTCTAAAAATAATAAATAAAATCAAAAGTGATTTGTCAGAACCCAGAAATTAAAAAGAAAAAAGGAAAAAGAAACAGCAAAATTTTCGTAAAGTTATTCTGAAACTTGATCTGATTTTCTTATAGAAAAGAACATTAACTCAAATATGAAATGCTGTGAATAAGCATTTTTAGTTGATCAAATACAATAGGATAAAAAGACAAGGTCTTGTTCTATTTCAACAAAAACTAGAACATTGCCAGAGCTGGTGACTGCAGTCAACTGACCCTGTAATGGCTTCTAGAAAACAACCTTCATCCATCAACACATCACCTAGAACATTGATGCCAATCAATCAATTTAATTTTTTAACAAAATTTAAAGTTTCAGCATTTTAACATTTTTAATTTAAGAATTTCGTCTTAACGTTACTTATTTTGTTGTAAATTTATGAATAATTTTATTAATAGACACATTATACAGTGATTCTGCTAGACTTTTGAAAGTATGGGTCCTGAGGACCCAGAGCTTCTGAATTTCTGAGTTCTTTTCTACTAAAAATGATTAAAATGGGAATTCTCTACCTCTTTTGTTCATCTATTAATATGCACATCCATAATTGTTATAGCAATTGATAAACAAAATTAAGAATTTTAAAACAAGAAAGAAGTTAAATTTGAACAATAAAAGCTTTTTGTTACGACTTATCGAACACTTGCATCAGGAAAATGCAATGATGTAATATGATACTTAGAATTATTTTACTTTTCTCCTTCAGCTACTAGTGAGGAGAAGAATTACTGATATATTTAAAATGTAATTATAATTTTGCCGATACATAATTTTTTTCTCGCTGGTGGTTTGCGGTACCGTGACCAATAATAATTTAATTTTTGTTTTCCCTCTACAATTTTTGCCGTATTCGAGGTACTATAGTGTTTTAATAGAATCACTGCTCATATACTGTTTGTCTAAGATAGGTACTCTGACCGCCACTAAGTCTGCGGCAGTCTGGTGCTATGGAAACAAGAAGAGGGCATTTTAGGGAGGGTAGCTTCGATGAAGAGCTCTCCTTTTCTCTCGCCGAAATCAGTCCTGAAGAGGGACCCCGCACCCCTACTCGAAATAATCATACCTTGTTACCATAGTCACCGCCACAGCTCCAGGCGAATGTCTGGCAGAGTACCTATCTTAGACAAACAGTATGCACTTTATAATTGTGCTTTCATGAACACTAACTTTGTTTATTTTTGTGTTGTGTACTTTTGATTACTGAGAGCTAGTTAGATTTAGTTAGAGCAAGATTTAGAATTAAAATTTTTAGGCCTAATAAACAACTACTGTTTATTCTGAAATTTTTTTCTCTATTTTGCAATTACTTATTACTACTTTTTTTTCATGTCTCATGATAATATCTTTCTTTTACAACATTCTAATATTTAGTTAACTTTTTCTCCCATTTTCATAAAAGTAAGTTAAAATTAATCTGTCCCTTACAGTATTATTTGTTTAAAAAATATTGTTATAATTTTCGTTAACCGTCTGTAAATGTACACATACAGTAAAGAAAACTTTAAATAAGTATAAGAATGATTATTATTTTTTTTTTTTCAAATTTCCTAAACTTTTTAATTTATTTTATCATTATTTTTAAGTTGATTGATATTTCATACTTTCAGTTCTCTTCTTGCTCTCATTCTTGTCAATATTCAAAAACAAATTACCAGTAAAAATTTTACTGTGCGTGTCTTGCAGGGGTGTCGGATGTATATTCTTTGAAATGGTGACGAAGAAACCTCTCTTTCCCGGGTCGTCTGTCGATTGGCAGTTGGGACTTATATTTGACCTGATGGGTCCCCCTTCAGAGGACGTGTTTGAGTGTCTGAAAAACAATGAAGAATATCTGTCAATAAAGAATGTACAGAAGTTTGAATATGATGACGTCAAAACACTGGAAGATAGGTGCAGGCGCCTTGATTCTACTGGCATTGACCTCATGTACGAGTTGTTGAAAGTAAGTCAATACAAATAAATATATTGATATGTATTTCATTATATATTGCTCACCCAATGATTTGAAACCTGATGACCAATTATTCACCAGATCATAATAATTTTGTGGTTTGATAATTTTTATAGTTCAGATAGTTTAAACTTTTGATGTCACTAAAAAGATAAAAAAAATTTACATTGGCTTACCTGATGACTTACTTACCGGGAAATAGTTTTATAGTTTGAAAATTTTTATAAGCTGTCTCTAACTCTTGATTTTGTTGAGTTGCAGTTGATTGCATCATAATTGTGAACATTGCAAGTTCTTCACATTGTAATTTTTTTTATTCAAATTACTTTATTAACTTTTTTTTTCACACACATATTTAATAGACAAGTGAATAAACCAGTAAAAATGTGTATGAAGTATAAAATCTTATAGTCACTTCTCTGCATATGAGGGAATAAATTTTCTTTTTTTCTGCTTTTGCTGTTTAAAAATTACTGAGAGTATGCCTTTAATTACTATTGTGGCACAACTACCACTACAATTATTAAATACCAATTGATTAGTATATAAAACATGTTAACCTGTTTTTATCTTGGGGTACCTTTTGATAGATGAAGGTTGACATTGTTGAAAGATCCTTTCCTCACATTGGTAACTTCCAGTAGTATATTTGGCTTGCTATTTGTGACTGCATCCTCCTCCTCTTTGCACTGCTTCTCAGCCTCATTTATACAAAACGGGATCCTGCATTCATTCGACTGCTAATACCAACACAAGAGATACCACACACACAACCATGAATATAATACAGCTCTCACGACAAGCGCTCAAAACTCTGAGAACTTAATACAGCTCTCACCATAATCACTAGAAATCCGGTGAACTTAATACAACTCTCCAGGTCTTACTCAAAAAAGTATTCAACTGGTGGTATCCGTTCATCGAATTCTATCCGTGATAAAATTCTGGTGGGGGAGTAATGTGACGTAACTACCACTACAATTAATAATTACCAGTTCACTAGTATATACGATACGTTAACTCGATTCTATTTTAGGGTTCCTTTTGATAGATGAAGGTTGGCATTGTCAACTCCTCTCCCCCATACTATTTAAAAATTGCTTTTTATGAAGCACAAATTTTGCATAATTTTAAAGCTGTTTTTGATTATACTTTTTATTACAAAACCAGCAGAATCTGCCCAATATTATATATATACATATGTATTTTTTTTAAATCAGCATTGATCTAGTTCTTACTATTATTTTGATTATTTTACTTTCAGTATGATCCTAAAGATAGGATAAGTGCTTTTGCAGCAATGAAGCATCGTTATTTTGATAGCTTAGGGCCTGAAGTCCACAAACTTGCCGATAGTAAGTATAAGTATTTTTAATAGCTTTAAAACTTCTTTTCCAATCTGAAATTTCTCATGTTTGTGTACCGTGTATGTATTTACTCAGCTTGTTGCTTGCTATAGTGTAACTGGATAGTAAATTGTAAAATAAAGTAATCAGTTTAGTAATCCTTAATAAGAGTAATTGGTTTAAATCTTTTTTTGAAAAATGAATGTTTTTAAATAGACTTAAAAGTAGAAAATTTCTAATAAAAATTTAAGAATTACCATTAAAAAAGGATATATTTTGATGTTAATCAGGGATTTATTTTTTAATTCCTAAATTTTTTTTTGTATTTTTTATTACTGAATTATCTTAAAAATAAAATTTTCACTCTGTATATTAATTGAAAAAAGCTTCTCAATTATCTGAAATGAATTTAAATACTTTATGTATAATATTAAATCCATTTGTGGCAGTGATAGGCTGTTTTTATGCACCACAAAAAATTATAAAATGGTGATGAAATTTTTCCTTAACACCCAGCTTTAGCTAAAGTATGTATTTTTAGTGGAAAAAATGTATAACTTGGGTGTGATATTCTCTTGATATGACTATTTAAAATTTAAATAAAAGCTAAAGGAAAATTATCTGAAGCAAAAGTTTTAGTGTGTCATTTTTTTCAAGTGTTCTCTTTAGTGACTTCTCATAGTCTCACAATAAATTCTTCATTTTGATTATTTAATATTTTTCTTTGGAGTCTATTCAAATGTGGAACTTTGAGAATATAATAAAACATTTTAAGGAAAAAATAAATTTAAAATCACAACATTAAATTAGTTTTAAAAAAGTATCACTCATTTTTTATGTTTCTCTTTAAGTAAATGCATTTCTGTTGCATGTTTCATTTTTAGAAATTTGGTAAAATCATTTTATTCTTTTAAATTTTTCAGTAATTATCATCTGTTGTACCAGATTAATTGGAAATTATAATTTCTGACAGCTGACGTTAAATTGATTTATATGTTTTTAGTTTAAAGCCTCATATTAATCATTAGAAATATTGTCTTTTGCTTACATAATTTTTTTAAATAAACAACTTTTTGACTTAATGTAATTATATTCACATGCCTATTCAGTAATGTTTGGTAAAATTTTCATTTCAGCTGCATCAATATATTCAGTGCCAGGCATAAATTTTCCTTTATCAATAGGTAAGAATTTCTTTTATTATTTCTAATATCAAGGGAGATGCAGTATTTTATAAATAAGACATTTTTCCTTAATAACTACTGTGCAGAATAATCTGTTTAATACTTTATCTTACAATAAAATCCATGTATTGTTGCTGTTGTTGTCATAGGCCATTGATGCAAGGGGTACAATAGTTCTTCTTTTTCAGCAGCGCCATCTGTGGCCAAGAATTTGACTTCTACCACATACCCCTGTGGCAGAATTTTTTCGAGCTATCTGCGACAAAGCTCTCTAACACTAATATCTTTCTGCAAGATACTTTTATTTATAACCAACTAATATGTTACTAATTTAAAATAACAAAAGCGTTGCGTTTACAAAAAAAAATTATGTAATTTTTTTTTAATTGAACTTGTAGTAATTTTTTATTCTAATATTATGGGTGATATTCTCTCATTTTGTTGGGGGTGGATGCACAAATGATTTCCTTCTTTGCATGTTATAACTTACTAATCATCACATTAAAAAAATGATGAAAAATTATGAAATCTGTAGTAGTAAACGCCTAAAAAAAGATTGACGAAATCTTGCAAATTGGGCTCCTCAAAAAGGGGTTTCTCAAATGCGTGGTTCAAATATTATGTGTAAATTTCTGTAGAAAAGAAAACTGAAATTTGTTACTTTGTAAAAGAAAAATCTTTCTGCGACAATGTCACGGTGCATTATTTTGACCCAAACCAGAGAAGGATCAATCTGCAATTCAGGGCCGGGATAGGCTAGTTGGTAGGACGCTGGGCCCATGTCCACGAACGAGTTAGTGGGTTCGATCCCCGCCGGCCGAAAACTCCTCATGTCGTAAATTGAGACTGATGCATGTTAAATCTGTCCAGTCGCAAAATCTTCCATGTTCCCGTAGCAAATCAAAACTCCTGGGAGTACTGATCCAGGAGTTTCCTTGTCTTCTGGATTGGTTTAAAATTGCAAGGCTTTGAAGTTGTACATTAGTAGTCGTAAATCTAAAAATTGGGTTGGATGTTCAACGGCGGATAAAAAATATTAAATAAAATTTCCAATTCAGTATCCCCGGAGGTATGATTTGTTATTGATTATTTGTTGAACATGGAGGACTTTGTGACCTGACATATTTAACGTGCACCAGTCACTATTTACTACACGGGGAGTCTTTGGTCGGCTGGATCTGCACTCCTGTTCTCGCAAACGGGAGTCCATCACCCTGCCATCAAGTCTATCCCGCTCCAATCCATGTATTGAAAATTATCAATAATAATTATTAGTACCTAAATTACAGATGATCAGGGTTGGCAAGATTTTGCCGCAGGTGGAAAAAACCATGGTAAATGCCGGTAAAACCCATCCTGCCAAAAACAGGTTTTTGCCAAGCAAATTGGCAAAAACCTATATTTTCCAAGATAAGAGGACAAAAACACATTTTTGGTACAAAATTATTCCTAAAATTTAAATATATACTATAAATATAAATAACTACAAAATTATTATTCCATAATTAAATCATAATGTAATAATATATCATTTTAGTAGTTTAAAACATTAGTGATTGGAAAATTTGCGATTATTCTCTTTTTTCCAGTGAAATGAACTTATTTTAAATTAATATAACTATAATTTAAAGCATAAAATATCTATCAAGATGTGTAGTTAATTATTGTACAAATAATAATATTTATTTACTATTTGTAAAAAAACATTTATTTAAGGATTCTAAAATGAAAAGAGGTNGAGAACAATTACCTCCTTATGATTGATTTAAATTTGTTTCAAGTATTTTGTAATAATATTTAATCAGCAATTTAGATTTGGTTTTTGCCGGTTTTTACCAGTTTTTGACGGTTTTTACCACTGTCCTGGCGAAAACCCCTTTTTGCCGGCAAAAACTCCAACCCTGCCGATGATTAAACTTGGGTATTATTCTATATCTTTTATATTGATTTTTGATATATTGTATTTAACTTAAATTAAAATGAGCTCAAGCAATAAAGCCAAAACATGACATGTTTTCGCTGACAATTCCTCACAATAAGTGTGCTGTAAAAAAAGAATCTCATTTATTTGCATTGATAGTGTTATTACAATATTTCATGTTTGGAGTATTTGATAACACTGTGCACAAGTTAATGAGTGGAATATAATATTAATCTTAGTATTATGCAATTACCGCTCTGCCTGAATAGTTTCCTAATGCTCAGAATTCATATTATTTTAGGTGCAAGTCAGAAGAGTTACTGTTACTTTAATAATTATTATGTCTGTTGTGCTAATAATTGCAGTTTACTTTTTGTAATGTGCTCTATGCTGAGTAAAAAGGGATTTAGAGCTTACTGCATGCATTTTTATGCATTTTAATTAGATTCTTTTTAAAATTTGTAGTATGTCGTGATGTTTGATTTTTCCTATCTTTTCTATTGTTTTGATATTTATGAGTTCGAAAAAAATTTGTTATTTTGATCTTTTTCTTCTTTTCTAGCACAAAGGAGATCCAAGATAAACCCTGTTAACAGTGCAAAGTCACAAGTCTTGTAAGTGCTTCATTCTTTTTTTTTTTTTTTTTTTTTTTTTTTTTTTTTAAGGAAAGTAAAACTTTGTTAATTTTGTTTCTACATGTTATAAAATTGTATATTGATGTAGTCTTATTATCTATGTCTTTTTCATATGAGACTATTAAAATGAATATTAATTAAACATTTGTAATAATATTTATATTACTTTATTTTGGAATACAATAATATACTCCCAGTTGTCTTTGTTATTTATTGAGAAGAATGCCACAAATATTTAAAAACATTTATTTTCCTATCCAAGTTTTTTTGCATGATTAGCTTTAAAGAATAATATCAAAAGATAAGACAGGATACCATAACTAGTCCTCTTTTCCATCTGTTTTCATCTTCTTTATAACATTTCGATCTTTGGCCCTTTTAAAACCCTTATAAACCCATGGGAAGTATATTTCCCATCAACTTCTTTGATTTTTGAATTTCAATGGGAAGCTATTTTCTCAATGACATGAGAAAAAATATAATGTTAAAAAAAATTATCAACGAAGGGCTTTGTTTACATAAATGTGCGTAATAGTAAAGCTTATCTTGAGATCAAAGAGAGAGGCCAACACTGGCTACCGGGCTCCAATTTATTTTCATCTTTTGAAAAAATGGTGACCACTCAAAGAACAATCTATGGGATATATAAGGAATATATTTTAGCTATACTAAACTATTTAATTTATTATAGCATTTAAGTATGTCCAGATGTTCCTTTTTTACTCTTAAGTTTTTCCAGCAATTAAAACTAGCATAGTTAGCCCAATATAGCTCATACAAGAGCGCAGTAATTCTTTCCTCTTAATACATTGTGTATAATACATACAGGGAAAACATAGAGATATTTTTTTCTCCAGATTTAAGTCACAACCTTGTTATTTGTTATAACATTTGTAGTATTTGCTTTTATAATAAAATTGTGAATATAACTAGGATATTTTTCTCTCCGCAAAATATAGGTCAGCTTCTCATTCTGGCATTTGGGAAAGCATGGAATCTTGGGAATCTCCAGACCAACCAATTAAAGGAAGTCAAAGAATTAGAAATGAAAGTAAGTTCGTGTTATTTGTAAAACATTGATTTTTTTCATCTATTTTTTTTATTTTTAAAAAGGCAATAATTGCAGTTTTCTTTGTATTGAGGTATTATAGCATTCGTCGCTGTCACTTATTTTTTTTAATTTTGGTAAAGTGGCCCACCCATATAAAATGTCTGGGCAATTAAGGTTAACAAAAGTGTGACTTTGTGCAAGTTCTTATAATTAATTTATTGATAATTCTTTATTCTGTTAGTAGGATAGGTCTTTATTCTGTTAGTAAGATAATTCTTTATTCTATACTTGTTTTTACATTAAATAATCGTTCTATATTATATTTCTTGATTTTGGATAAATTAGCTTGGTTTCGCTATATTATGTTTCTTGTTTACATACAAGATGGTGTGTAGCGTTTTTAAAAAGTGCTTAAAAGTGCTTATTTTCGAGTTTTGTTTTTTAAAAGCCCTTAAAGGTGCCTTTTTTCATTGTGGTTTTTTAAAAGGTGCTTAATATTCCCTTTTTCAAAATGAGATTGTCAATTTTTGCCAATCTCATTTTTTTTATGCAGAAGTGTGGTTTTCCCATTTGTTTTGTTCATTGTTTTCACAATTCATTCAACCACAANTACAGGGAAAACATAGAGATATTTTTTTCTCCAGATTTAAGTCACAACCTTGTTATTTGTTATAACATTTGTAGTATTTGCTTTTATAATAAAATTGTGAATATAACTAGGATATTTTTCTCTCCGCAAAATATAGGTCAGCTTCTCATTCTGGCATTTGGGAAAGCATGGAATCTTGGGAATCTCCAGACCAACCAATTAAAGGAAGTCAAAGAATTAGAAATGAAAGTAAGTTCGTGTTATTTGTAAAACATTGATTTTTTTCATCTATTTTTTTTATTTTTAAAAAGGCAATAATTGCAGTTTTCTTTGTATTGAGGTATTATAGCATTCGTTGCTGTCACTTATTTTTTTTTAATTACGGTAAAGTGGCCCATCCATATAAAATGTCTGGGCAATTAAGGTTAACAAAAGTGTGACTTTGTGCAAGTTCTCATAATTAATTTATTGATAATTCTTTATTCTGTTAGTAGGATAATTCTTTATTCTATACTTGTTTTTACATTAAATAATCGTTCTATATTATATTTCTTGATTTTGGATAAATTAGCTTGGTTTCGCTATATTATGTTTCTTGTTTACATGTAAGATGGTGCGTAGCATTTTTAAAAAGTGCTTAAAGGTGCTTATTATCGAGTTTTGTTTTTAAAAGCCCTTTAAGGTGCCTTTTTTTTCATTGTGGTTTTTTTTTTAAAAGGTGCTCAATATTCCCTTTTTCAAAATGAGATTGTCGATTTTTGCCAATCTCATTTTTTTTTATGCAGAAGTGTGGTTTTCCCATTTGTTTTGTTCAACGTTTTCACAATTCATTCAACCACAATCCATTTCGGCGTACCATTGGTCCGTAGCGTGTGAACGCGACAACTATTTTACGTGATTAAATACTTTCGAGTTCGCGGGTGCGTCTACTGAGCTGTGTTTGTTGAGATTCGTGCACTCTCGCGTGCAACTCTGCTGCATTTAGCAAGACATTCTCAATTTCAGGCTTCATTTTTCACCCTCTGAAACCAAATCGAAAAATCTTTTTATGTTGGCTAATATTATCAAGAAAAGAGTGCTTTCTCAGAAACTAATTGTTTTATCATAATCATGTAAAGTGTTTGAAAATTATTTTGCATTTTGTTAATGTATATAGTGCTTAAAAATATTTTCTGAGTGCTTAAAAAGTACTTAAAAGGGGCTTATTTTATTTGTTGAAAGATTTGGTTTCGCACCCTGTATGAAATAGGTGGTTCCACTATATTATATATAAATATATTATTATTATTTTTTTACATAAAATAGTTTGATTTCACTATATTATATTTCTATAAGTAGAATATTTCAGTATCTGCTGTGCTATTAAATAGAGTAGACTATATTATTTGTACTAGTTTATTCACAATGTTACTGTTTACTACTCACACAGTTTTGCCAATTATTTAATCACATAATTCTGATATACTAAATAAATCTTTGCAGTCACTTTCTTACCTCTCTTATTTCAGATGATAGGACATGGAAGTCGACAACATGAAAATAATTTTAACTTTCAAAACCATTGCACATTGTTGAGTTTTTTCATCTTCTCCAAATTGCTCCAACCATGCCAGATATCATTCTACAATCATGATTATCATCGTCATTGACTGAGCAAACTTCTCTATTTCATATCCATTCACATATCAAATATTTGGTGTAAATTTTTACAAGTTAACAATATTTGAAGCTTATATTTTCTATTCACTTGACATACATTTTTTTTTTTAAATTTAGATTTTAAGATGTTTTTATTTACTGTATATCCAGGTGTATAAGTGGATCCTTATTTTTGATTACAAGGTAGCAAGTTTCTAGTGTATTGCATTGCGTATCTGGTATGAGTTGATCGCTGAACTAACCAAATGTTGAAAAAAATAATAAAAAAAATGTCAGAAGTTAAAAAACATGAAAAAATTATTAAGTAATATTTAACATGAGGATGAAGTGGAATTGATTGCCGAGTGGGATCCATATGACGATGCTAAATGATGCCACCTANTGTTTTTATTTACTGTATATCCAGGTGTATAAGTCGATCCTTATTTTTGATTACAAGGTAGCAAATTTCTAGTGTATTGCGTTGCGTATCTGGTCTGCGTTGATCGCTGAACTAACCAAATGTTGAAAATAATAATAAAAAAAATTATTAAGTAATATTTAACATGAGGATGAAGTGGAATTGATTGCCGAGTGGGATCCATATGACGATGCTAAATGATGCCACCTAGATGATGCTAATTTTGTAGCTTTATAAAATATTTTTAAAATTTTCTTGTGTTAGTATTTTTTGATGCACTCTTGAATAAGTTATCTTAATTTTTCTTATTCTAAATTTTTTTCTGAAAATAATTTAAAGGATTGCTTCTGAAATGCAAAAGTAATTGTGTATAATATATACTAAAATAGTTTTTGAAAGGGGTAAATTGATAAAGAGTAATTCATATCTACTCATTGCTTAAAAAAACATCGATATTTTACGATCGACAAATGTCCAGCTTTATTGCCGGCATTAAGTTGATCCCTTAATTTTCATTCAAATGTAAGGATTTGAAAAGCCTACTTATACACTGGAATATACGATAGTTGCTTTAAAAATAATTTCAGATTGTTATGATGTTTAATATGGTCTTTCATGAATTAATTTTATTCAGTTAATGTTATTTTTTAGATCATATTTTTCAAGTTTTGCTGAAATCTTTGTGTGATATTTGCTTACCCCCTTTTATTTTTTACAGAAATTCTTTCTCTCATTTTTAAATAACACTTTTATTTTCCTTTCAAAAAATTTGCTTCAAATTGTACAACATTTGTATGAAATTAAAATTGAAAAGTTTGCCATTTATGTCTTACAAACACTTATGAGAAGATTTCTAAATTTTCATTTTATTTTCGTGAGTTATATATATTTTAAATTAATACACCTGCATGATTAAATTTTAACAAAATAGGCTTTTTTTTTATTTGCTAATTTCGACCTACAAACTCTTTTTAAAAACAGTACTTAACTATGTACGAAATTTTATTTAAGAGCTTTAGAAATTTTTTTTATTGTTAAAAGCAAAAATTATTCATATTCAAAGATTTTTTTTTATTAATTTTTGCAATAATAATACAATGCAAATAATTTGCAATTGTCTTCAGGTAAATAGTGCTTATAATAAATAATTTATGATAAAATTTTGTTAAAGATAATTCATTACAATAAAATTTGAAAAACAGTAATAACACTGTATATGAACAAAAGATATTTGTTCCCATCTACAGCCCTTTTAATGTTTTAATTTAGTAATAATTTGATTGTATAATTTTAATCTTCTTGCTTTAAAAATTAATAAGAGTAGAAATGTATAGAATGCATTGTTAAAGATGTTATATCATCCAGTTAATAAATGTTTGCAATGTATAATGTCATGACATCACATATGCTCAATTAATTACTATGCAATTTTATAGTATCAATTTTACATATTTAAAGTCAATTTTAAATGAATTGTTAGTTGTTGTTCGAAAAATATTTTTCTGGTCACTAAGCATACCTAAAAATATTTGCTGAACTGTCAAGATTTTATCATTTAATTTGTAGTAATTGTAAGACAGAATTTTTATTGTTTAGTTCAGTCGAACTTGCTTGTCTTTGAAAATCTAATTTGGTTAAATGGTAACTTATTTTATACAGAAAAATAAAACAAAAATTTTAATGGAAAAAAAATATTGAATATTTGTGTACATTAATGCAAGTATACTATATATTGCATTTTTTTTCACAAAAGAATTTAGAACTTGGTTTTTTTTTGTTTGTTTTTTCTAAAAGAAGCTTAAGGATTTGATACTTAAATCAATGGTTATAGTTAAGCTTTTTATTGACGATGCCCTAATTAATAATTAACTTATTTTCACTGGTCCGTGCACATGTTTCTCTTAAATTTTTTGTTGTTAATTTGAAAGGGAAAAATTGCAAATCCAAGAATGTGCATTTGTGACAAAAGCACAGAACACTAAATTAAAAAAAACAAAAACATACCATCATTTCTTTACATTGATTTATCGTCTACTGATTTTTATTTTGTAAAGTCTTTATCAGTTCTGAACCACTGTTAATTTGGGGACCTGCCTCCAGATAATTCTTATCCTTAAGAATTGTAATAATTAATCATTTACAATAAACATTTCAGTTGATTCTTTAATTTCTTATTATTTATGCCCAACTCAAAGGTAGTATTAATTAATGGTTTATCACCCTTGTGAAAAGTTGGAAAGTTTTATTTTCCAAAAATAATTTGATTATTTTTAATTGCTATAATATACTAGTTTAAATTTAATGCATAAATACCTTCGGTTTTAATACACTATTGTATCTTGAAATATGAAGGCATGCTTAACTCGTTCAAAAATACTTTAAAGTGATTGTTTTCCACACAATTATATTGCAATTTTTTCAGTTATTTCTTTGGATTGTGTTAAGGCTCAGTTGCCTTATGACTTTTTGTTGTGTATTTGCATGACTTGTGTACTATGCATTGACTTAAATTTTGTTTAACTGAGCATCAGAGTATATTCTAAGTTAAAAAAATTGCACTTTGATCAATAGCATTTTCTACAATGTGTTAAAATGTATACTTATATAGATAAAGATCGAACTACAATACTATAAATTTGTAGCTTGATATAATTATATCATTTCAGCTTAACTTTGCAGGAATTCTAGGACTCGATTGTACAATAAAATATCTTGTAATGAAATATCATATGTATGAAATTTGTCCTTTAAAGCAATAATACTGTTTACGAAATGTATGATCAGTTATTTTTTATTCATTTTCACAGTTGATCAAAGTTTAGTTTAAGCTTATTTATAAACAGACTGTCTAAATTGATTTTATTTTGAAATTTTAATTGTCAGATTCCAGTCAATTGGTACGAATCATGCGAATTGCGAGCTCATAATTCTTTTAAATATGTCATTTTTCTAATATTTCATCACGATTTTATTCTTAAAGAATCTGTACTTTTCTTCATTAAGTTGCTAATAGAATTCTTAAGAATTTGTTAAAATTAAAACTAAGCAGTTCCCTCCATTTTAAATGTAAACCAGGGGTTCTTAGAAGACTATTGTGTTTAGTGTACTCATTTTGTAATGCTAGTACAGGGCAAAATTAGGAATTTTCGCTACTATACCCGAGGCCACTTTTTTTAAGAATGAAAATTTTAACATGGTTCCCACGGATCAGGGAAAACCTGGAATTGTCAGGGAATTTTATTTTAACTCTAAAAACCAGGAAATGGTGAGGAATTTATTTTTACAGAAACCTGGAATATTCCTATATCATACCTAGAAAAAAACTAGTCTTAAAATTGTCTGTAATAGTAATCAGTTATTGAGATTGAAGTTAAATAATTCTAACATCTATTTAAATTATTTGTTATAAAAATTTCTCATTTTAGTCAAACTTGAAATGTTTTCTTCCTTATTTAATATTATTTTTTTTGTCAGAAAATCTAATACAATCTAATAAAATCTAATTTTGTCAGAAATTTCACATTACAAATAAAAAAAATCAAATTTTTTTGATGAAAATATGGTCTCATTTTTCACTGAAATTTACCTGGTATGCCTGGAAAAGACAGGGAATTTTTCTGAAATTGAGTGGGAACCCTGTTTTAAACCATTAAAAAGTTTGTTGATATAAATAATTTTAGGCGCTTCTCCTGAAGCTATTTTAGAAATACATATTACAAGGTTAATGTATAAAATGAAGAGAAATGTTAAGAAACCATCGACAAATAAGTAATATTTACAATTAAATGCTCATGAAATGCATTTTTGAAGGGAAAAAAATGGTGTGATTGCCATCTGTTATATTTAGTCAACTTGTGGCGACTTGCTAATTTTGCCCTATAATAAATAAAAATCTTTACTCAAAGCTTTTTATTGTAATGTAAGCATAGAAGAAATGAAAAGGTTGGAAAGAAAAACGCGATAAAATTTTGTATACAATTGCTAAATTTCAGTACTTTGTTAAGTTGTACTGCAGGCTGGTGAAACAATACCAGGGGTGTTTGCAGTTTTGTAACTAAAAAAATATTAGACTGAATATCATAATGGTCAGCAAATATGTCAAAATATTATGAAGATAGTGTATTAATTAGATAGTAGTAATTTTAAATATTATCATGAAATTAAAAAAGGATTGGTTTTCCTAGCTGCCAACTCTCCTGGATTTTTCCAGTTTCAACTGGTTTGATAAAAATTCTCCTGGTTTTTTGTACATTTTCAAAAGTTCCCTAAATTGAGTAAGTTTCCTGAAAAAAATCCCTATTGAAGTAGAATTTATTGCTTGTTTGAATCTTTAAATAAGTGTTGCTAATACATAATGAAGCGAAGCCTCATCGTTAGTAATCAGTTTGAAGCTTCTTTTTTTAATAATCTAAAGTTTTTCTTATATTTTTATTCAGAACTCCTTTTTTAAATTTTAAAATTTTTTTAACTAACTTTTTTTTGAAATGCTTGTCTATTACTATTAAAAATGAGTTAACACAATAAAAAACTTCAATAAAGTTCATTTAATGTCTATCATAAACGGAAAATATTGCGTACCATTTATAATAATTAGAGTGATTAATTTTTATAATAATAAGAGTGACAATAAAAATCGCTAAAATTCCCTAACTTTAAAATTTTTAGTATATTTTGCTATAGTTATCATGGAATTTATATTTTTTCGTAAAATGTACAGGATTTTGTCCTATCCATGCTGGCAGCTATGGGTTTTAATGGAGTTTTAATAATTTAGAAAATAAAAATTTTCAAGTTCATTTTTGCATTAAAGGAACTGACATATATGCCAGTTTGTTCCACATCAAACAGATAGCTATAGTGTGGCTTTCAGGAGAACTCCTCCAGACACCCGTCCCGCGTCGTGGCGGGTACTATGGTTACGAGGAAAGATCACTTCAAATAGGGGTATGGGGTGAATAGTTTTGTTTTAATCTTAGCGTAGGTCGTCGCTAGTAAACCAATCAGCACCTTCTTTCCTCCATTTCATCCCCATTAGAAATGTGTTCTCGCTTGTTACCATAACAGCAGACAGCCCCAGACTTTCAATCTGTAGGAGTTCTTCTCAAAGCCGCACTATAAATATTATTTCTGTGCTACTTTATATATTTGTTGCATAATACTAATGAAAACAAAACTCTGTGTTTAAATTTAAAAAAATATTTTCTTTTATAAATATATAATTAAGAAAAGTTATTTATAGAATAAAAATAACTTCATATTTTTTGGCTATGT